AGAAGGATGACTGACCAACTAGTGTCGTGCGAGAGATGACTGACCAACTAGTGGTTGCGAGAGAAGGACTGACAACTTGTGTGTGCGAAGAGATGACTGGACCAACTTAGTGTGTGCGAGAGTTGACTGACCAACTGTGTGTGCGAGAGATGAACTGACCTACTAGTGTGTGCGAGAGATGACTGACCAAACTAGAGTGTGCAAAAGGAGATGACTGACCAACTTGTGTGTGCGAGATCTGATGAATGACCCAATAGTGTGCGCGAGTGATGGACTGACCACTAGTGTGTGCGAGAGATGACTGACCATACTAGTGTGTGCGAGTGATTGACTGACACTAGGTGTGCGAGGATGGAGACCAACTAATGTGGTGTGCGGAGATGAATGCCAACTAGTGTGTGTGAAGAGATGACTCTGCACCAATAGTGTGTGCGAGAGATGACTGAACCTATAGTGTGTGCGAAGAGATGACTGGTCCAACTAGTAGAGAGCGAGAGTAGATAGGATGACCAACTAGGTGCATGTGCGAGAGTGCTGACCAACTAGTGTGTGCGAGAGTAGATGACTGACCATCTAGTGTGTGCGAGAGATGATTGAAACTAGTCGTGTGCGATGAAGATGACTGACCAACTACTGTGTGCGAGAGATGACTGGACCAACTAGTGGTTGTGCGAGAGATGATGACCAACTAGTGTTGTGCGAGAGATGGACTGACCATACTAGTGTGGCGAGAGATGGGACTGACAACTAGTGTGTGCGTGAGATGACTGACCAACTAGTGTGTGCGAGAGATGACTGACCAACTAGTGTGTGGCGAGAGATGATGACCAACTAGTGTCGTGCGAGAGTTGACTTGACCAATAGTGTGTGCGAGAGATGACTGACAACTAGTGTGTGCGAGAGTTGACTGACCAACTAGTGTGTGCGAGAGTAGATGAATGACAACAGTGTGTGCTGAGAGATGACTGACCACTAGTGTGGTGCGAGGTAGGATGGACTGACAATAGTGTGTGCGAGAGATGACTGTCCAACTTGTGTGTGCGAGGATGGACTGACCAAAACTACTGTTGTGCGAGAGATGACTGACCAACTAGTTGTGTGCGAGAGATGACTGACCAAATCTAGTGTGTGCGAGAGATGACTGACCAAACGAGTGTGTGCGTGGATGACGACCAATCTAGTGTGTGCGAGAGATGATGGACCAACTAGTGTGTGGAGAGAGACTGGGACCAACTGCAGTGTGTGCGAGAGATGAATGACCAAACGAGTGTGTGGAGAGATGACTGACCAACTAGTGTGTGCGAGACATGATGACCAACTATTGTCAGTGCGAGAGATGACTGACAACTAGTGTGTGCGAGGAGAATGACTGGACAATAGTGTTGTGCGGAGAGATGAATGAACAACTGGTGTGTGCGAGAGATATGACGACCAACTAGTGTGTGCGAGAGATGACTGACCAACTAGTCTGTGTGCGAGGGTTGACTCACCAACTAGTGTGTGCGAGACATGATCTGACAACTAGTGTGTGCGATGAGATGCTGACCAAACTAGTGTGTGCGAGAGATGACTGACAAACTAGTGTGGTGAGAGAGACTGAACAACTGGTGGTGTGCGAGAGCTGACTGACACAAACTAGTGTTGTGCGAGAGATGACTGACAATAGTCGTGTGCGTGAGTTGATGTCTGACCCAACTAGTGTGTGCGAGAGATGACTGACCAACTAGTGTGTGCGAGAGTTGGACTGACCCAACTAGTGTGTGCGAGCATGACTGACCAACTAGTGTGTGAGAGAGATGACTGCAAAACTAGTGTGTGCGAGAGTGACTGACACCAACTAGTGTGTGCGAGAGGATGACTGACCAACTGGTTGTTGTGCGAGAGATGACTGACAACTAGTGTGTGCGAGAGTGACTGACCCACTAGTGTGTGTGCGAGAAGTAGATTCTGACCAACTAGTGTTGCGAGAGATGACTGACCAAAGTGTGGTGCGAGAGATGATGACAACTAGTGGTGTGCGAGAGATGACTGACAACTAGTGTGTGCGAGAGATGACTGACAAACTAGTGTGTGCGAGAGTAGTTGATGACCAAATAGTGGTGTGCGAGAGATGACTGACCAACTAGTTGTGTGCGAGAGATGACTGACCAAACTAGTGTGTGCGAGAGATACTGACCAAAACTAGTGTGTGCGAGAGATGACTGACCAATAGTGTGTGCGAGAGATGACTGACCAAACTAGTGTAGTGCGAGAGATGACTGACCAAACTAGTGTGTTGCGGAGGTGAACCTGACCAACTAGTGTGTGTGAGAGATGACTGACCAATAGTGTGTCGCGAGAGATGGACTGACCAACTAGTGTGTGGGAGAGATGACTGACCAACTAGTTGACTGTGCGAGAGATGACTGACCAACTAGTGTGTGCGAGAGAATGACAGACCAACTAGTGGTGCGAGAGATGGACTGACCAAATAGTGGTGCGAGAGATGACCTGATCCCAACTAGTGTGTGCGAGAGATGACTGACAACTAGATGTGTGTGAGAGATGACTGACCCAACTAGTGTGTGCGAGAGGATGACTGACCAACTAGTGTGTGCGAGAGATGACTGACCAACTAGTGTGTGCGAGAGATGACTGACCAACAGTGTGTGCGAGAGAGATCTGACCAACTAGTGTGTGAGAGAGATCGACTGACCAACTACGTGTGTGCGAGAGATGACTGACCAACAGTGTGTGCGAGAGATGGACGACCAACTAGTGTGTGCGAGAGATGACTGACCAACTAGTGTGTGCGCAGAGAGATGACTGACCAACTAGTGTGTGCGAGTGATGACCTGACCAAACTTGTGTGTGCGAGAGATGGACTGACCAAAATAGTGCTGTGGCGAGAGATGACTGACCAATAGTGTGTGCGAGAGATGACTGACCTACTAGTGTGTGCAGAGATGATGGACACTAATGTGTGCGAGAGATGACTGACCAACTAGTGTGTGAGTGAGATGACTGACCAACTAGTGTGTGCGAGTGATGACTGACCAATAGTGTGTGCGAGACGATGACTGACCACTAGTGTGTGCGAGAGATGACTGACCAACTAGTGTGTGCGAGGAGGTTGACTGACCAACTACTGTGTGCGAGAGGGAGGGACTGACCAATAGTGTGTGCGTGGAGATGACTGACAACTAGTGTGTGCGAGAGATGATCTGACCAACTAGTGTGTCCGATGAGATGACTGACCAACTAGTGTGTGCGAGGGATGACTGAAAAAGTAGTGTGTGCGAGAGCTGACTGACCAACTAGTGTGTTGTGAGTGATGACTGACCAACTAGTGTGTTGCAAGAGTTGACTGACCAACTATGTGTGCGAGAGCTGACTTGACCAATCTATGTAGTGTGCGAAGAGAGATGACTGACCAACTAGTGTGTGCGAGAGATGCTGGACAATAGTGTGTGCGAGAGATGACTGACCAAATAGTGTGTGAAGAGATGACTGACCATCTAGTGTGTGCGAGAGATGACTGACCAAACTAGTGTGTGTGTGAGATGATGACCAAACTAGTGTGTGGCGAGAGAGAGGACCAATAGTCGTGTGCTGGAGATGACTGACCAACTAGTGATTGTGAGAGGATGACTGACCAACTAGTGGTGCGAAGAGATGATGACCCAACTAGTGTGTGCGAGAGTGGACTGACAAACTAGTGTTGTGCGAGAGATGGAAAGACCCCAACTAGTGTGTGCGAGAGAATGACTGACCAACTAGTGTGTGCGAGGAGATGACTGACCAACTAGTGTGTGTGAGAGAAGACTGACCAATAGTGTGTGCGGAGAGAGACTGACCAACTAGTGTGTGCGAGAGACTGACTGGACCAACTAGTGTTGTGCGAGAGATGAGTTGACCATAGGTATTCGGACATAGGGTAAATTTTAACTGTTTCAATCATATATATTATTAATAGTTTAAAAGTACCAGCAGGTATCGGACACTTTCAACCGATACCAGTATCATAAATATGGCCGATATTCACGATTCCGATACAATACTGTGCCACAAAGTAACACATCCTGGGTGGTGCCACAAAGTAACACACAGGCTGGGTGGTGCCACAAAGTAACACACAGGCTGAGTGGTGCCACAAAGTAACACACAGGCTTGGTGGTGCTACAATGTAACACAGGCTGGGTTTGTGCCACAATGTAACACTCAAGCTGGGTGGTGCCACAAAGTAACACACACACTGGGTCGTGCCACAAAGTAACACACAGGCTTGTTGGTGCTACAATGTAACACAGGCTGGGTGGTGCCACAATGTAACACTCAAGCTGGGTGGTGCCACAAAGTAACACACACACTGGGTGGTGCCACAACGTAACAGACAGGCTGGGTGGTGTCACCATGTAACACAGGCTGGGTGGTGCCGCAATGTATCACAGGCTGGGTGGTGCCACAATGTAACACAGGCTGGGTGGTGCCGCAATGTATCACAGGCTGGGTGGTGCCACAATGTAACACAGGCTGGGTGGTGCCACAAAGTTAGACACAGGCTGGGTGGTGCCACAAAGTAACACAGACTGGGTGGTGCCACAATGTAACATACAGGCTGGGTGGTGCCACAAAGTAACACACAGACTGGGTGGTTCCACAATGTAACATACAGGCTGGGTGGTGCCACGAAGGCACAGGCTGGATTGTGTTACCTTGTAACACAGGCTGGGTGGTGTCACCATGTAACACAGGCTGGGTGGTGCCACAATGTAACATACAGGCTGGGTGGTGCCGCAATGTAAGACGCAGGCTGGATGGTGTCACAATGTAACACAGGTTAGGTGGTGCCACAATGTAACACAGTGTTACTTGTCTTCCTGATACAGGCTGGGTGGTACCCCAATGTAACACACAGGCTGGGTGGTGTCACCATGTAACACAGGCAGGGTGGTGTCACAATATAACACAGCCTGGGTAGTGCCACATATAACACAGTGTTACTTGTCTTCCTGATACAGGTTGGGTTCTGGTGCGTCAGGTACACATGACTCAGGTGCCCCACCTGAGTCTACAGCAACTACTCCACTACTCAGTGTACGTGGTAGAGGTGGTAGCCTGCCATGGTGCTTCCAGAGTTCCAGTGCTGGATCACCTTGGACGCCTCGCCCTCCTCTCCAAGTTGTGTTCCTCTCTCCCAGCTCGTGTAGCAGCTTACACCAGAGCCAACGGTGAGTTACTATGTGTTTCGACACCCTCTTTCACCTCTCTCACTTCTCTCTCATATGTGTGACTTCTGTCTCACCTCCGTGACTGTTACGTCAGGGGCCATGTCTATAGGCCTGTTTTGGCCCCTTTCCATAACAAGACGTCGAATCCAGCTCTGGTCTAGTTGTCCTTAGACACATGTCATTTTAATATTGGGATTATTATTAGAAAACTGATCCGATTAAATAAAATGTGATCTTTATTATAAAAGAATCCATATAAACTTAGTATGTGATACAAAGTTCTCTCTCTTGTAGTGTTATACATGAAAGTACACGTTGTCTGGGACTAAGTAATCTTCTAGAGCGAGGAATTGTATTAAAGGCTGAGCACCTAAATCTGCACAGAAGATTGTATGAAGGGCGATTGGAAGGGTAACACATTTTTTTTTTTATTTTTCGTTCGATTTCTTTCATTTTTTTTTTGTACGTAAAGAAGCACCTTTCAATAGTAATGTGACCAAGTTTCAATAAGATAGCTCAAAAAACAACTGAGAAAAAAATTATTTACTAATAATCATACATATTGCAAGGTACCGTTGAAGTGGGACTTGGAGAAGTTGTTTTGGCATTATCTACGCATAAAACAATGCTAAACTGTATTTCTAATGGATTGCCGTTCTGTAATTTATCCTTTCTTCATTCTTAAAAAAAATAAATTTTGTATGCTTTTTGACTTTCAGCCAAATATCTGACTTTGCCCTCACAAAAAACAAAAACAAATTATGATATCTCAAAAAGCGATCCATGGGGCTTGTTAAAAACAATCTTTCCCTTATGTTCTCTGTGAATTTCATTACATTCCTGCATTATTAACGAAGTTACTTGCTCATATATGTGAAAAAACTTACTTCCGAGATAATCCGCGAAACAGCCGGACCACCTTTTTTTTTTTTTTTTTCGAAAAAAATAACATTTTTCTCAGTCTTATACGCATTACGAGTGTTATCATAGTTAACCATGTTCGTTTTCCTAATATAAGGACCGGGGAGGTGAGAGAAAGAGAATGGAAGCCCCTTTTGAGATGGGAATCTATTATTCCCGATGAGCGCTCTGGGAATTTTGCCATATATTATTCATTCTGGAGTATTTACCATACTTCTTTGTTATTTATATGTTTATTATGTCATATTAGATCAATTGTGATAGATAAATAAGCCGTAAAGCTATAATAAGCGTTATATTGAGCCATATTCCCCGGCCACCCCGAGACTGGAATTTCCCCTGACGTCAGCAAAATGGTGCCAGGAGGTTCCTGGTTGGTTGGAACTCTACGTATAAGTCCCACCCACTGTATTATGATGCCAAATCGTCAATTATTATCTTAGAAAGAATAATACAGTAAATACACGAAAAAAAACGGAAAAAAAAAATAAATTGACGACAGATGAGCACACCTGCCGCGGGTGGTGACGTCACCCTAGGTGTATTTAAATGACCATAATTCCTTGTAGGAATGTCGTAGAACAATGATTCTGGTACCATTGTGTTGCCAGAGAGTTAAGCTATTTTTCTATAAGATTAACTCAGTTTGTGAATTTTTTTCGGAAAAAATTTTTCGTTCGCGCTGAGCATGTCAAAACCCCCTGAACCTACTCAGAGTGCTGTGAACCTGCTCAGAGCAAGGGAGGTGAACCTACTGCCCTGAGTTGGACTCTACTCTGAGCGAGTACTGAGAACCTACTCTGAGTTAGTGTGAGAACCTACTCAGAGCAAGGGTGGTGAACCTACTGACTGTACCACTAAGGGGTAAGCGAAAGTCAGGTTGGTCAAGTCACTGAGGGAGACGTCAGTACCTAAACTGCTAACCGGCACTAATTAGTGGTTTCTTTCTATATGACAACAACAATATTATGAACGCCTAACAATATAATATAACAATATTATCTTTAAAAACTTATATATATAAATATATATATATATATATATATATATATATATATATATATATATATATATATTTATAATATATATATTATATATATATTATATTTATAATAAAAATGTGGACATTCTAGAAAAAAAATATATCGGGTAGGGCTATACTTGAAAACAGACTTCTCTGTCACTTATCCGTCTTCTCACTCACGTTAGTGATTTCTCCCTCACCTGTCTGGCTCCAACTCATGTCTTTTGACTTCTCTCTCACCTCGCTGACTTATCTCTCAACCCTGTCTGACATATCTCTCACCTGCTTGACACCCTACTATCTTTACGAAATGGTTCTCTTCCATCTGCTTCCTCTCACATTTGAGAGACACCTCTCTCACTTTTCTGACAGCTTTGTCACAGATTGTCATCTGAACAGCTTTTTTCCCCACCTAACTAACAAATCTACCAGCTGTCTGACACCACTCTTGTCTGCTCAACATCGTTCTCACTGACACATTTCTTCTTTGCGACACATACTTTCAATGTATGACACCTTTCTCACATTCGCGTTTGTGTGTCATCTGTCTAACTTGCCTGGCACCTGTCGACATTACCCTCATTTGTCTGATATTCTTCATTGCCACCGCCTGTCTGGTACCTGTCTGTCAGGTAATAAATGGTATAAAATACCGACACAATGGAAATATAAACAAAATGCAGTATAATGTGATCCTTTATTGACAACGTTTCACCCACACAGTGGGCTTTTTCAAAGTCACACACGGATCTACCTGGGGTTTGGAAGGTACGAGAGTATTTATAGTCATGTTCAGAATGTTGAGGTCAGGTGGAGAATGCTGCATCTGATGATCTACCAAGACTCTATAACCCCCCCGGTAGATCATCAGATGCAGCATTCTTCACCTGACTCAACATTCTGACTATAATACTCTCGTACCTTCCAACCCCAGGGTAGATCTGTGTGTGACTTGAAAAAGCCCACTGTGTTGGGTGAAACGTTTTTCAATAAGGATCACATTATACTGCATTGTGTTTATATTCCACCTGTCTGTCAGTTTCATCATCAGTCTGCCGCAGTGACGCGTACCTCACTACTATAGTTTAACACTTCAAATACAATTATAATTATTTTCTAACGAGTCCCTTTGATCTCCAGTTTCCCTAATTATTAAAAGCGAGGAAATGAAAGTGAAGAGAGTTATATTGGAAATTTAAAATTAAAAATGATATGCCGTTCAGTGGGGCTGAGATTTTCCCTTCTTCACATGCATAAAATATAACGAAGTAAAATATATCGTAGCAAGTATAATGTAGAAATATTGGTAAATTATAGTATACCTTAAAAAACTTAGCAGAATAAATCAGTGTTAATAGGATACAACAGTGTTAGTAAGAATGAGCAATGTTAGTCAAATTTAACAATGTTAGTAAAATATTACAATGATATTTATTATAATGAAGGTAATAAAATATTAAGGAGATATAGTGTTAGAGACATCGTCTGAATGAGTAACATCAACGCTGACAACCTGCCTCTACAACCATGATCATCAATGTTTTGTTAATCATTTTCTCTCTCTTCTTTCTCTCATCTCCCCCGAACATCCGCGCTAAGGTAAGCAGGTGTTTACATATCTCCAACATAACTTGCGTCCATTGCTGCCAAGTCTGTGTTAACGTACCTACACAGTTTTGTAGGGAACTGCTGATCACGAAACTCTTGTGATAATTGATTTAAAACCGACAAGTTGAAGATTGAGACACTTATGCAATATATGGGAATTTTTATTGGAGAAACGTTAGTTTAATAGTTTAATGTGTTTATTATACACCCCATACCCATCCTGTGGGTGGTAGTCACCCCATACCCATCCTGTGGGTGGTAGTCACCCCATACCCATCCTGTGGGTGGTAGTCACCCCATACCCATCCTGTGGGTGGTAGTCACCCCATACTCATCCTGTGGGTGATAGTTACCCCATACCCATCCTGTGGGTGGTAGTCAGTCCATACCCATCCTGTGGGTGGTAGTTACCACATACCCATCCTGTGGGTGATAGTCACCCCATACTCATCCTGAGGGTGGTAGTCACCCCATACTCATCCTGTGGGTGGTAGTTACCCCATACCCATCCTGTGGGTGGTAGTCACTCCATACCCATCCTGTGGGTGATAGTTACTCCATACCCATCCTGTGGGTAGTAGTCACTCCATACCCATCCTGTGGATGGTAGTTACCGCATACCCATCCTGTGGGTGGTAGTCACCCCATACTCATCCTGTGGGTGGTAGTCACCCCATACCCATCCTGTGGGTGGTAGTCACGCCATACCCATCCTGTGGGTGGTAGTCACCCCATACTCATCCTGTGGGTGGTAGTCACCCCCTACCCCCGGGGGGTGGTTCACCCCCTCCCCTCTTGGGTGGGAGTCCCCCATCCCCTCCTGTGGGAGGTAGTCACCCCCTACCCTCCCGGGGGTGGGAGTCCCCAAACCCCTCTTTTGGGTGGTTCCCCCATACTCACCCGTGGGTGGTAGAACCCCAAAACCCCCTGGGGTGGGAGTCACTCCCTACCCTTCCCCGTGGGGGTAGTCACCCCTACCCCTCTTTTGGGTGGGGTCACCCCCAAAACCCCTCCTGTGGGGGTTGCACCCATACTATCCTGAGGGTGGTAGTTACCCCCCTTCCCCT